AGAGGGAAGAAGCTTGCTCTTCCCCTCCCCCAACTGCTGCTGCATTGGGCCACTTTGGGCTGGGCCCGCTGCTCCCCCCCCACCACAGCGCCCACTTTTCCCCTGGCTCGGTTCTCCTCCCCCCACATAAGGCCCGCTCCTCTCCTCCCCCTGCACCTCCCCTGCCGCTGCTACATTGGGCTGGTCCTGCTGCTCCCCCACCCACTTCCACTTGGGGTTCAGGCCCACTCCTCCACTCCCTGCCACAGCAGCAGGGGGAGGGCAGGGGCGCGCACAGGTCCGTTTCTTCCTTCACTGCCACCATGGTCGGCCCTGCAGGCGGCAGCGACAGAAGGGGGCAGGGGCTGGCACCAGTGGCCTCGCCCCCCATGGCCCCTCAGCCTGCTGTCCTTGCCCTCCTCCCCTCTGCTCCGTTGCCACCTGCAGGGAGCAGGGCGGGGGGGGAAGATGGGGGTGAGGCCAGTGCTGCTGCCCCCCCACTCCCGCTCCGTCCCCTGTCCCCCCACCATTATGGCAGTGGGCTGCCACTAGTCCAAATGCTTCTTTGCACTCTGACTGGCTGTTTGTCAGACTTAGGCTTTTATCATGTTAGAATAGGCAAGTGTCCCTTGGTAAAGCACAGTGTGTGCTTGGGGGTATACATGCCCTCATTCTGAGTTCATCAGCTACTGTTCTAAGGTATTTAAATACTGGAATATTTAGATAATAAGTAATTTTGGTTTAAATGATTGAATCCGGTGACTTAGATGTGGAAGAGAACATAAGGAAATTAAATTGCTAAGGAAAAATAATGAAGTCACAGGGTGCTTCTGTAGAGTAAGTGTCCGATTTTTAAGATTGATTTGACAGTTAGAACCGCAGTCTCAGGTTATCCTCATCAGTTCTGAATCCTCATGACATTTCTAGTGTTCCTGACAATACTGGCATTAAATAGCTAAGTTCATGCAAATAGCTTTAAATTCTTGTGAATGGATATTCACATGATGCAGGATTTTTGTTTGGGAGAGATTGTATGGGAAATGTAATCTATTCATTTCAGACTGCTAAAAATGTAGTTGGGCTGCAGGGAAGGAAAAATCTTGCTGCTTTTGATGTTTGTGGGTGTTTTGGGGTATTTTTTGCTTGATTGCTTGCTTGCTTATTTGTTTGTTGCTTTGTAAC